TCATGCGGGCATATGAAGTGGCGAATTGCGGTGCTTTATAGCGTTCAATTGGACCGGACCCAAGAAAGGGTCACGCTTGGAGGACTAATTCTCGTTAATGAGCCTAGAAAGTCCGCAGAGGAGTAGTAATTTTTCAAATACCTACGTATCTTATATAAAAACTAATAATTGCAAAATTTGGTAAATAAATAAATTTTACCTTTGACTTGCTGCACCGAAGTCAACTTTCGCTCCCACAGATCGTCAAATGGCTGACCAGCTGATGGCTCAAAATCGGCCGTATATTGACGCATACCGGCCGAGGTAGTGAAACAGCATTTGCACATGCACGAATGATATCGCAAACGACCCTCGTCCAGGTAGGGATGCGCCAGAGCATCCGTCACTGTGATGCGCTTATCCTGAAAGGCCAAATGGCAAATTTATTTAGTAGTGGCAACAAATATATGTACATATATCTACATACATATGTATGCATGTCTGCCCACTTACCGGATCGAAGACCAACATTTGACATAGCAGATGCACTGCTTCGTGCGTCGCATGCGAACTGAGCGTGTACAACGCCGAAAATGATGGCAGCTTGGGTGCGCGACGCAGCATATGTGAACGGGCGCCATCGCATGCATGACGCATATCCTCCATGGAGGGTGTGCCCAACAGTTCCGTAATCAACTCCAGCTGCTGCACGGGATTCTGTGCCTGAAAGAGAATGCGACGACCGAGCAGTTCGCCGAAAATGCAACCGACCGACCAAACATCCACAGCGGACGAATAATGGCGAGCGCCCATCAATATCTCCGGTGCGCGGTAATATTGTGTGACAACCTCTTGCGTCATGTGTTTGGCCTGATCGGGCTCCTCGACGCGCGCCAAACCGAAATCGCATATTTTCAGCACACAATTCGAGTTCACGAGCAGATTGCCGGGCTTGATGTCGCGATGGAGGATGCGCGCCGAATGCAGATATTTGAGACCGCGCAATATTTGGTAGAGGAACACTTTGATGTGATCGGCGGAGAGATGCTGTGGCGAGACGATTATCTTATGGAGATCTGACTGTAGGAGTTCGGTTATCACATATCTAGTTAGGCGACGGGGGTGAAAGTAAAGTAAATTTACATAGTTGAGGAAAACCGAGAGGTACAAAATGAAAACGAAAAAAAGTTTGAAAAAATAACAAAATTTAAAAGCAAAGTAAATTTGGAAATGCCTGCGAGTAAGCTGGCGCTTCATTGAGAACTATTGACTTAGGCAACTTGCCCCGATTTGGGGAGCACTTAAATGGCGTATTAAATCGCACAAATGCACAAATGGCAAAGCCAAAGACCGCGCGCCCTCTGCACAATGCCGGCTGAAAATGGATGAAAACTTTTTCAATTAAATGCCATTGATTTTCTTTATTTACATTGATGTTGACTGACAGTAGGCAGCATTAGGGCTGAACACTCACACACTTTTCTAGCTGTCGAGTTGCACACGTGCGCGCGCACCACTTTGCGTTGTGTCTACTTTGTGCAATGCAAGCGCAGCCTTGAGCTGTAACCGCAAAACTAAGGCAAAAGTGGCAATTGAAAATTGAATTTTACTATTACCATTCTACACGCAGCCATTTGCTTGTAGGCTTTGCCTTAATCTTCAATGAATTCTAATTTAAATTAAATAAAAATGAGAGCGGCTAGGCTAATGTAAGTGCAAGTGCATGCTAAAAAATTTTCATTGCATTGTGCTAATTTTAACGAAAAACTAATGTAATAGCTGCTTATATTTAAGAGAAAAAAAACAACAACAACAACAATAACAATGCCAACGCACGTGCTGGCTGGCATTTGAGTGCTCGTAAAATCGTCCTTGGCTTTACGAGTGGCAGGCAGCATCAGCGTAATGCAATGCATGGCGTTTTCAAGCTCTTAAAAGCAGGCAACAATTTGCAGCGCTAAGGAGGTAGCAATGTATTAGTGCGGCTCTGGTTGATGCCGGTTTGGAGTGACACTGCGCTAATGTCATAAAGCTTGTAAGCATGAGTGCGTAGAGCGCTTAACGTCTTTTAGATACACTGAGGGAAATAATGCATAGTAAAAATGAATACTTTATATTTGATTATCGTTTAAAAATGTTCGAATTTAAAAATAATATTTTCATACAATATTTATTACGCACGTATTTGACTGTTCACATCTGAGTATATACATATATGAGTGTGCATAGGCACCCCAAGCATGCAGAGCGCCGCTCTGAGAGCGGTGACAACACACACATTCATACATAGTACATGTTTATCCGTACAAATCGCGTGCTGTGGTGTTGATGGATATTCAACATTTGAAAGCAAATTTATATGCCTGGGTGTAGCTGAGTGCGCAAAGATGCATGCCACAATTTGTTGATATCCAGAGATAGTCAGGGTTCGAATTTCACTGCAGGCAACAACATGCAAGTTAAATATTTTTTTTTAGTTTTTGTCTTGATTATTCACTTTACGGATGCTTTTTCAGAACGAACGCGGTCATTTTAATATGCGCGTAATTGAATTGAATATTTACCAATATACAGTACTTTCGTTGACGTTTATAGTAAGATCAATTACGTTTCTATTTGATTTTAATATTTTTTCCCCTCAGTGTAAAAGTACTACTTATGTATTAAAAGTTAAAGCTTAGTCGTTAATCGTTTGATGGCCCACTATTTCGTTCTGGTATGCATGTTACAAATTGCTTTTATGTATCTATTTAAACCCACATATTTAAATTCTTTCGATGTTGAGAAATTTTGTCACGAGTAGCTGGAGAGAAAGCGCTAACCTGCGCTCCCAACTTGTAGAACTCCCAACAAGCTTTTCAGACGCCGTAGCTTTTGGTGCTCAAGCCGTAATATAAAACTTAAAGCTGAATAGAGCACTGAAAGCCTGAAAAGCACAGAGCGTCTGAAAATCTTGTTGTGGTGTTCTACTCTCTCGAAAATACTTGTGCAAGTTTGAAATTACAACAAAAGTACCGCAGGCTCAAAGAGAAGGTCAGCTGATTACACGGTTTACACTGTGTTCCAAATGGCTCCATGTCGACTTTTCTCTACCCACATGACCTCGAGTGATAATTGGGTGGGGAAGAAGGAGCTGCGGATAGCCCGAAACGTGATTGAGGGCTCTTCCGTTAAGAACCCTCTCCATAATTTTTTTCTTTTTAACTAATGAATCCCAATGGTTTTCTTTCCGCCCAACCGACACGACATGGCGTACGGAACTGGTTTTTGTTTTCAGGTAGAAGTTTCTGGCATGAAAAAAGCAGAAGACGCACTAATCAAGGGTGTGACGTCAATAAAAGAGGTAAGCACCTTGAGTGATAGCCAAGCCGAAATAAGGACCCTGAGCTTATTAATGGTGGACACGAAAATGGACAGGGAGTTCCTAACCTACCTCTAAATTGTGGGGGGATATTTTATGGATATCAGGCCACTGGACTCTGCATCGTTGATGAGTTGGCGAGAAAGGATACCCCTGGCATTGATTCATAAATAGACCTTAGAAGATGGACCTTATGTCAGTTCAGCAAACAATTGCAAGTTTCTTCTGACGCTAGGTGGATCGTAGGCAGTCAAAGTAGCAACTTAAGTTTGCGAATCCAAATCCCTCGCTTTTGCTTTGGGTTCTGACTGGTTTTTATCAAGGTCCGATCCGATTTCAGGCAATGAGATTAAAACTCTCATCTGATCCTCAACGCATTCTACTAGGCTAGCTTTCCCGAGACTAAACTTTAAGTACATATATTCACGCGCACTTTATTTTTATAAGCGACACTGAGAAACTCTAGGATATTTATATTAGCGCTTTTCGTAAATAAGAAGGCCTGATTACCTGACGGCTTTGGATATCGTTCCACTTCACATTGTCCCAAGTATGTGCCCGACTGGGAGCAACCACCTGTTCTAACTTAATAAATTAACTTTACTATTCGCGTACACTATGGATAACCTAGCATTAATTAAATATATATTTTTTTTTTAGACTCCAAGAGAGCATCGACACCCCTTCAACCCTTTATCAATACTTCTAGCTTTGTAATACGCTGATGTATAGTGGGGAGCAGTTGAAAAATTTAACAAGTTTTCATTAAAATTTTCAGCTTTTTAATCTGATTTTTTCGATTTTTGAGAATTTTTCTGAGTATGCAATTATGTAGCAAACTAGATTTTAGTACTCTAAAGAGCTTGCTAAAACTTCACCTATATATATATTCAATTATCTATTCTAAAACTGCCCAGTGAGTTATAGAACTACGTACCTATGCCAAAAATAGAGTTAGCGTAATTTTTTTCGAAACATTCTTTTTGGTGCAGAAATATAAAAAAAAAAAATGTTGTTGAGGTTTTTTCGCGTTTACAATTTAAATAAACTCGAGCTTTGCAACATTGCCGCTTAATAAGAAAGTGAAGTGGTATGAAATGGCAAAGGCAAATAGTTTCTGTTGTTGCATACGAAAAAAGAGCCAAATGAAGTTGCACCGATGAGTGAAGCATTAAAGCTAGTAGTTAGCCAACTTGTGCTTCCGGTGCAACTGCAATTGCTTTATTACTACATATTTCTGAATGACCCAGCGGCAGGTATTATGTTGTTTTTGTTTTTGTTTTGTTTTGTTAAAGAATAAAAAAAAAAAACTGAATTGATGCAAGAACTTTTTCTTTTTGACGTAATGCGAGCTGTTGTTGTTGCTGTTATTATTTGCATAACTCTTCTCGATTGCTCAGTTGTACTCGCATTATTATTTGTTTTTATCTATTTTTTCAGTTGCAAAAGTAGTTGTTTCTTTGTTGCATATTTCAACTTAAATGAGTTGCCTTCTTTTTTCTGTACTTTGTTTGACTTGTCTATTGCTTTTGTTTTATTTATATGATTTTTTATTTTTTTCAAAAGGATACATTTCTTGGAAGAAATCCAAATGAGGTGGTTGTAAAATGTCCAATGCTGAGAGTACCTGCAAATAAAAGAGACGATACAAAATTGTAAATGAGTGGAGTTTAAGGTAAATTGTTCGAAAGCGGAAATCTTAATTACATACATACATACATAAAAAGTTACGTAATTATAACAACAATGTTTAACACATTTTTTATTAGAGATGTGAACCGGTTTCCAACCGAATTAACTGTTTTTTTCTACTAATTAAGGGATTTCGGTCGTTTTCGTGTTCAATTTCGGCTATAATGATATTGGCATTTCAAAATGAATTCAGATGTTCCGTAGGTTTTTTTAAACTTTAAATAAAACACTTAAACCAGAACTGGATGTCTGAATCTTTATTATCAACAGAAAGAACATTCATATAAAGGACTATGATTTGAGGGTATGCGCCTGGAATATCCGGACCCTTAATGGGGAAGGTGCCTCTGTCCTCGGGAAGACAAAGGCTCACATCACCGCCATCCAAGAAATGCGATGGACGGGGCAAGACAAGATAAGCGTGAAACCCTGCGACGTCTACTACAGTTGCCACATAAAGGAGCGCTTAGGAGACTTAGTCGACGAGAAGTACCATTCACCCCCGGTGGAACGAACGTCTAGCCACAATCCGCATCAAAGCGAGATTCTTCAACATCTCGCTCATCTGCGTTCATGCCCCGACGGAGGTGAAGGACGAGGCGTCCAAGGATCTCTTCTATGAGCGCTTGGAGCGTACATATGAGCGCTGCCCCCAACACGATATCAAAATTGTGTCAGGCGAATTTAAAGCCAAGGAGGGCAAGGAAGGGATCTTTGGCGCCACTGTTGGAAAATTCAGTCTCCACGACAAAACGTCCGATAACGGACTGAGGTAGATCGATTTCGCCGGGGCCCAAAACATGGTAATATGTAGTACTAGGTTCCAGCATAAGAAGATACTCTTTTTAGCTTCTAATTTTGCATACTTTTTTTCAAAATTTTATTTTTGATGCAGAAATGCATCTAGATGCTCCAGGAATATTTCTGCATCAAAAATAAATTCTAAAAAAAAAAAATGTCGCTTACTTCCGTTATTTTAGCGGTTGGGGCTCGATATGGCTAGCGTTTGCAAAGAAGAATGACTACATTTGCCTTCCAGGTTAAGCCGCTTTTCTAGTTGCATATTGGCCATGACTCCTTTGACTCACCGAAACAAACGAAATTGCACAATCGATAAAGTTTAAATATGCCGCAGAAATATATTTTAAATACTTTTAATTCGATTTGATTTGACGAAAATTGCAGCAATCAGTATTCGCTTAAGTCTATGTTTTTTTTCTTACTATTTTAAATAATAAAATCGAATTTGCAGGTTGACCTACATTTCAATAATTTTGTAACAATTTTAGCGCATGCCACTACAGCTTTGTAGTAATTTAAAATAAAATTAAAACGAAAAGCAACAACTCCTACCTACAGCGCTTGAAAAGTACGAATGCGAAGTGGAAAAAGCCTTCAAAATCCAAGCAATAAAAATAAACTTCAAAGGCGCGATAACATTAAATATCTACTCGTCAAGTTTTATAAACTACTCGTCGGCAAATGTCAATAAAGTTGCAAATATCGCAAATATCGCTTAAAGTTGCCGCGCGTAATTGCTGGCAATCATCATCTGTATGTACATAGCTGGCGGCAGTGGCCAAGAACCTTCCACTCGCCACTCGTCACTCGGTTTTTTGTCGCCGTCGCCGCCGTCATCGTTGTCGTTGTCACATAAAAATCACCCTTGAAGGCAGCCAGCAACAGAATGTTGCAATCCAAAGCGATGTTGCAAGGAATGCTTGCGGAAGCAAAAAAAAAGACGCCAAATAATAATAAAATAACGAAGACAATGGCAAACAGCGCAAGCAAAATGTAATGGTGGATAAAAAGTTAGCAACAGCAACAAAGTGCAAAAATAGCACAAATTTCGAAAACAACATTTTCGACTAAATCTAAGCGCTGCCGCTGGCATAGACAGGCATTTGCAGCGGCAGGGGCAGGGACAGGGACAGAGGCAGGACCTGTCATAGCTGCAAATACATATGTATGTATGTAACTGACTCCTGTCTAAGTGGCTAACTAAATAACTGCATATACTTATTTGTATTTTCAAGTACTTAGAGCCAGAATGTGACAAAGTGACTGACTGCTGGCGGCGGGTGGTGGATCAACGAACCGACGACGAGTATGGCTCGGAGGGGCGCTCGCCAAGTGATGAACGCTGATTTATTTCGCTCGAAGGCTGAGCCAGACAACAAAACGATAAAGACATAAAAACCAAAGTGAAGTAAAGCGAAACAAAATCATCAAAAAAAAAAAAAACATGAGAAAAAGTGAATTAAAATAAGTAAATAAAAGCTGCCACAACAGCAACGGAGGAATGAAAGAACGAATAATTGCTGCAAAAAATCGCCACCTAATACCGCCGACAACAACAAAGTCGCACACAGGCGGCAGGCGGAGGTAGCAGTAATGCTTGCAACAATAGCCAAAGTTAAAACAAAAACAAAAACAACAACAGCAATACTGATGGTAATGTCAGCAGCACAGGCAGCAACATCAGCAGCAGTAACGAAAATGAGTTTGGCTGCAACAAAACAAAAAAAAAACAATGCACACAAAGTGACAGCGCTATCAGTGGCAATGACAAAAACATTAACAACAATGTTGGCAACAACAAAACGCGCTTAAGTTGCATATACATACATACCTACTACACAACGACAAACACAATCACGGCTTTAACCAACAGTCAGTTAAGAACTTTTTCGTGCCAACGAAATGGCAATAGGAACAGCAACAGCAACAGTAACAGCGAAAATGTCAACGCAACAACAACTACAAGCAGCAACTGACAATGATGACAACAAACAGCCAAGCAAACGTAAACAGCCAAAGAGCCACTATAAGCAAGTAAAAGAACAATGAACTGCCAGTCACCGCTGCCTGATGCCCTGCAACTGAATCGGTTTGTTTGCGATATTTTCGTATGTTTCTGAAAAAAAAATAAAATAAATTCCCAAACTGTTTTGTAACTCCATTCGCTTTATTTCGTTATTTAGTTCTTTATATTGCATTTTTTTTGCTATCCTACAGAGCCCAGAGTCATTGTCGGATTTCAACATTTTCCTTAAAGTTCTTAAACTCTCATAATGGATTGAATTTTTTTACTTTTGCTTGGCATTTCTTGATTCTTGCTCACTTGGGTGAGTGTAAATCGCAAGTGACTGGGCGCGGTGAAAAACAAAAAAAAAATGTATCGATTGTTATTTTGATTATTTGGGATAAAATGTTGAAGTTATAAATTTTTATTTTTTTTTTGCAAATATTTTAGCATCAGTGTACGATATCCGTAAATATAAGATGTAATTATTAGACTTTATTTGCCAAAAGTTAAATGCTAAATCAGTTGGTTGGTTAGAGTGGTTGCAAGTTTTAGCCATTTTGAAACCACATAAATACTCGGGCAAACTTTCGGCCACTTGGCTACAGGAACGGATAACGAAGTGTCTTCAGCCCCATTTCGCAAGAGCTGGACACTCGCAGAGAAAGCTTTCAACTTTCTACTTCAAGTAGAGATGCTTACAGCTGCGGCGGAAAATTATGCCGAAGCAGTTTCCTGTGTAGACAGCCATGGGTTGTTTTGCCTATTTCTAACAAAGCCCTGGTTTTAAGTGGGGCGTAGGAATTGCAGATATGAATTAACGAGCTACAGCAAGGGGATCCGGAAGGCGAAGAGAAAAAGTTGCAGAGTCTTCTGTGAAGGCATCTTGAATACTCCAGCAGCCGCGAGTTCACACAAGGCTTTAGCCAGAAGGACGGTGGAATCAGAACTAGCACTGAAGCCTCCTGATGGCCCCTATACTAGTAGCAAAGATGGGAGGGCAGTCATCTTACACACTTCCCGGAGGCCATTACCTTACAACTTGAGCTGGAGGTCCGGCGAACTAGACCGCGAACTATATGTGCTCGTGTGAGTGCTATAAGGCCCCAGGGGTAGGATGGCATCCGTTCAGTCATGCTACAACAGGGTGGAGAGAATTTAATACCACACCTCGTGGACATAGTGAGAAGCAGTCTTGCGTTCCACAAGGTGTGGCCGAAGGCGCGAGTAATTTTTATCCCGAAGGTGGGAGGTCTGTCAGACCTACATATAAACCTTACCTATTTATAAGCTCAAGAGAATAGACCATGCTAATTTTTGGTCACTTCAGCAGCAAGTAACTAATTGGTTTGTAATTAGTCAATAATTAGTTTTTATTCAACCTGTTTCGAACTAGTTTTGAAAAAAATTAGTTCATTCCACGCAAGCATTATTTCTTCTGAGAAAAAAGTAATTTTTCAGTTAAAAGTTCGTAATTCTTGTAATAATCCACAATCTACAACCGATTGGGACACAACTGGCACACAGGTAGTAAGTATGTGAATACACTTAAAAGTAATCAAAAGCAAAAAAGCACAAAACATACTGCTGCTACAACAACAGAAATTAAAAAAAAAAAACACAATGAAAAGAACAATTATGTATATTTAAACGGATAAAAACGCATCGGCAACAGCTTAACTGTGGAGCTAAGGTGTTGAGCAACAATTAAGCCTTTCAGTAGCGAGCAGCAAAGAGCCGAAGGCAGTGTAAGACCTAAGGATAAATACTTGTTCATACGCAAGTGCGAGGCGGCAAACCAAATGAATGCACCACACACAAATATATTTTTGCACATACATATGGTTGTACATTAGGGTGGTCCAAAATAAGCAAAGTCGGAATTTTAATGCTCTCCATTCTATACTTTTTTGCGAAAAGTTGTTTTTTCAATGCATATAAGTAAAATGCATGGAAAACTTTGAGCACTTTGAGCGATCTATAAATATTTTTTGATTGCAAAATAAAAAATAGGGGTATACTTTTTTTCGTTATAGAACAATACTAGCGGGTGAGAGCATACAAATTCCAACTGTACTTTTTCCACATGCATTTTTTTTTTTGGACCACCCTAATGTACATAAATATGC